GATCTGTGTCTCTCACACTCTTTAGCTCACCAGGGGACAGTAAATGAATTTTTAAAAGAGGTTCTATGTTCCCAGATGTTAAAGCTAGGTTGTGAATGCTCATCCCCCACCCCCATTTCTTCTCTACTTTGGGTCATCCTTTATTGACCTCTCATAACACTCTTTCAATGAGAGTTTTGCTGGACAAACAGTCTCATGTTTCTGGGAATGGGAAATGGATAACATGAGCATCCAGCCCTGTCCCTCCATACCCTGGTTGATGTATGCCATGATCCTCACCCTCTCAGACAAGGTAGTCAGCCAGTACCCACTCACTCTGCAGGAGTGGTCTGACTGTCAGCACTGCCACCGTACCCTTCTGTTTTCAGAGGTTTATGACTTGGCTGTAAAATGCTGCAGAGGATGGTGTATCTTAGCAAATTGGTTTAAGTTACAAGAGAGTAAAACAAAAACACACACACACTCACAAAATAAAATAAAATGTCTGTAATTTCAGACACTATTTAGTGTTTCTGGAACTTTAAAAAGCCTGTAATTGTGCTGTCTGTGTACCCTACTGGTATTCAAATCAATGCTTTGAAGTTCAGTGATTTAAATATAAAATGAAGATACTCTTTTTACTTTGAAGAGATAGTTATCAAAGAAGTTTAATGTATAGCTTGCAAGTGAATAATAATGAGGGATTTTCTCTCTAATCAAAGGAATTTTAGGATCTCTTGCACACAAATGAAAGACCACATTTGATGGTTACAAGTCACCAACGGTACATTCAAAATAAAGCCCACTCAAAGAACTATTCAGATTTTGTCATTTGAGATAATCACAAGTTCAAGAGATGTGCACAAAAATTTTAGTAGACACAATTCTCGTTCTTCCAACTCAATACACAAATTCTTTTCATAATTCTTGTGGTACTGTGAATTTTTTGAGGAAGAAACAATTTATAAACCACAGTATCTGATGCTACTGTAGTTTTCTCTAATATCCCAGTACTCTCTATTTCAGAAGCAGCTTGTCATTGTCATCAAATGTTTCCTGCATGTTACTATAGTGAAAGAAAGAAAAAGAAAGGAAGAAAGAAATTGAAGAGATTTGATTTAATTATCATCAAAATTTTACTAAAGATATGTTATATGTGAAACAATATTGTAGGTTCTGGAAATGGTAGGAAGGAGAATAAGCTATGATCTCTATCCATGAGGAACAGGAAGAAAAGTACTTGGCATGAGTACTTTTGGAGAAAGTGATATGTAACACAGTGAGGCATCAGCAGGTGTCACTTCCATCTGGAAAAATGGACGCCTGTGGTGCTGTTGTCCTTAAAGTGCAGTCCCCAGATCTGCACTGGCAATGTCACCTGGGAACTTACGTGGTTTGGGCCCTACCCCAGACCTATTTGGTTAGAGACTCTTTAAGATTGGGATTCATCAATTTGAGTTTCTAAGAGCCTTCCAGATGATCCTGAGATGCAGTTCTAATGCAATTGTAAATATTTCCTAAACTTTACAGAGCTGCAGAGTCACTTGAATTGCTTGTGGATACAGATTATGGATCACTGCTCACTCCACCATCAGCATCCTCCTTCTATGAGTCAGTAGTAGAAAAGTCTTCCTTTCTAAGGAGTTCTTAGGTGATGCTAAAGCTGCTAATTTGAGAACCACATTTTGAGAACCACTGTCGCAAGATATCTGCATATAATTCAATAGCTTTTTCACTTGCTATGTACTATCTTTGGGAGATTCAAGAAAATGTGACTCAAATTAGCTTATCTGTTTTGTAGTTTAAGGGGTGAACTCTCAAGGCAAAAGGCTGAGGGGAAAAATGGAGAGGACAGCATTTTTAAAAGAAGGAACATTGTACAAGGATTAAGTTGTAAGTATCAAGTTAGTTAAATCAATAGCCATAATCGTCGAAAAAAATGCAGAACAAATTTTAACCTGTAAGAAAGTAGAAATTTCAGCAGACTTACTTACATATGGTAGAGCTAAAGTTATTTTCTCATTCTCTCTAATTAGGTTAATTATATGAGCTTACTCCTTGGAAATTAAAGTCTAAATTTCATGGAGAACGAAGTATTCATTCTGTATCAGTTTTCTGGTGTACTACAACATTCAGGTAGACTCACGTACTTTTTACTTCTTAGGCATAAGAATACATTACCCATGTTTTTCTTTTCAATCTACTTCCCACTTTCTGAAATTGAGATATACATGATTTAGAGCACAGAGACATAAGACTCAGTAGAGGCATGTGACCGTGACCACTAACTCATATTCAAAGCTCAAGCTTTTAAGAACATGAGCTTAGCTATTCAGAAACTTCATAGAATGGTGAAATAACACCACCAATCTACCCACCCAACAAAGAAAGAAAGGAAAATAATTATGCATTCCAATGGGTGAAGACAAAAATTAAATACTGAATTAATTGCAAGTATGATAAATTTTAGTTGAAAGACCTAAACACCATTTTTACAGGAGTAAAGCTTTTATAAGACTGCCTACACTTGCCCAGCCTGGGGTTGAAAGTTAGTGAAAGATTCTTTGAAGAAAAATGTTAAAGTCAGTAACAGAGAGCTGAGTAGGCAGAATCCAGAAGAACAGTCATGGAGACTGTCAGCAATCAAGATGGGGAGCATGTGCCCTGGTCATTGAGGCAAGAAGAGCCAAGGCTAGGAAGGTGAGGGAGGGATGCCAGGGTTGATGCTGGAGAGGCTGGCCACTAACACCAAGGCCACATTGAAGGATTGTAAACAGGATGGGGACATGATTAGATTTGAATTGTAAGGCACATTTACACTGTGGCTTACTATATGCAAAATGCACTGGAGGAGAAAGTTGCACTCAGAGAAGGGATGAAATACCAATTTAAAATTTCCATCGTTCCTCAGTTCCTAAAGAAAACCAATTTCGTAAGTTTTACTGTTCCATGACATCATATGCTATTGCTCAATTTTGATCTTACAATATATATTATTTGGCTTTTCACTTAGAAGACTATGCTTTACTTTCAGCAAACTAAAGTAGAGAGCAAAGGTCAATGTGAGAGAACTGATAGCCCAGTCATCAGGTTGCCAGCAGTTCTGTGCATCCTCCAAGTTCATATTTTGCAGTCTTAACCCCAGTTACTTAGGATGTGAAGATATTTGCAGATACAATATTAAAGAAGTAAAAATGAACCCCTAATATGATATGATTTTGCCCTTAGAGAGAAGATTAGGACACCAACATGTGCAGAAGGAAGACCTTATGAAAACACCTGGGGAAGAAACCCTTCTACAAACCGAAGAGAAGGATCCATAAGAAATCGAGCTGAAGACACCTTGATCTAGCTTCTACCCTCCAGAACCATAAAAAAATCAATTTCTGTTATTTAAACCACCCAGTCTGTAGTATTTTGCTTTGGCATCTCTATCAAATATACATGGCAACAAAAAAAATCACAACAGATTGTAGGGAATATAGAGTATCCTTTGCTTTGGTGGGGGGATGTACTGGGAATTGAACTCAGGACCTTGTGCTTGCCAGGCAGGTGCGGCACCACTGAGTTACATCCTAGCCCAAGGGATGTATTATCTTGATGAATCAGAAATGTATTCATTTCTAGTAGAAGTGCAAATAAAGGAGAACTAATTAACTAGAGTTTTTGGAGGGCAGAGATGGAGGGAAAGCCAATGGAATGTGCATGGCATGTGAACAGAGACACGGCAGTGATTTTGGTGAACTCCCATATTGATGAGACTTCTGAAAGCAAGAGTGACTACACTGGCAAAATTCAGAGAAACAACTGGTGTCATCCATTCTGACTTATTCATGAAAATTCAGTTTCTAATCTTCTGAAAGCCTGAGTGCCTCATGCATACATTCAACAGAGGAAGAATTTTGTCATTCTGCTTATTTTTATTCTGATCATCGAGCACAGATTTTGCATATGTCTACTGGTCTGCTGTGTGTACAACATTATGGAGAACAAAAACAATTTGAAGACATGGTCTATGATCTCAAGAAAAGTCAAGTTAGAGATTAGTTAATACTTTCATGACATTTGTTATCTTCCAATGTGGGTGAAAGGTTGGTTTAGAATGTTTTTCGAAGTGATGACAGGGCTCATTCAAGGTTGACACACCCACCTGCCATGTCCTCAACTTCCAAATGACACCTAACATCCATCTACTCATCTACGTCACCTCTAGCTGGAGACATACAGAAGCACACAAAGTCATTGAGACAAAGATTTTAATTTTCTTTTAGTCACGGAGCAGTTTCTTTTCTTCTGTGATTTCTTTAGCTTTGTTTTTTCATGAAATCACAACAGGTATAACTATTTTCACTTTATTCCTGGCTGACATTCTCTTTGGTAAACATTCTCTTAATGTTAAAATGGGAACTACTCTTTCTTTTTCCTCTTTCTTTTCCAACAATGAAAGAATTACAATTTGATTTTTCTGTTCTGCCTAGAATATCAAAAACAAACAGCACGTACCTTTTTGATACAAATGCCTCCTTGACTTCACTTTATATTTCTGTGTTCCTTTGGACTTCCCAATCTAAATCTTTCTGCTTTTCTCTCTTCTCCCTACTGAGAAATCTATGTCTGTTCTTCTTTGGAAATCAGTACAAATAATTTGGTTGCTTTATTTACCACAAAAGCTCATTTGCTTTGAATTATTGGACATTTATTATCCCTGGCTGTGGTTGGTACTATATGATTTTGCTCTACGAGCACTGCAAAGACTGGGAACTAGTCACTGGGACTTGAGACACATAAACATATTCAATGTGATATTTTAGTAAAAACAAAAATTTTTATAGTTATTTTTATAATTATAATTTTTATAATTATGTTGGATTCTTTGGCTTGAAGCAAAATAGAGATGACAGATTTGACAAGTTGTTTTTAAATTCCATTTTATTTTGCATATTCTATTTTTTTGCACCCTGGAATTAGAAAGAAATGGAATTAGATTGAAATGATGAAAAGCTACACATAGAGTGTTTTACCTGGCAAAGCCAACACCTCTGCTGACTCCATTGGCATCTCTTAGTATTCGTGTGGAAATGACATGTCCGAATGGTTTGAGCATATTCTCCAGTTCCTGCTCATCCATAGAAATTGGGAGATTTGAGATGTATAGATTAGTTGGGTCTTGCTCTTGTTGCTAAGGGAAAAAAGAAAAAAAATGAAGTGAGTTCTGAACTTAGAGGAATGTTGCACAAATGGAGACAGTTTTGCTTGAATTATAATTTAGATTCTAATCTCCAAATATCCTTATAAGAGTGTATAGTGGGGGAACTACTTACTAAATTCCTTTCTGTGCAGAATGTTTTTCATATAAATAATCTTAGCAATGAAAGCCAATCTCTCTGTCCAGCCTTCCTTAGAAAAGACTAATAAACTTTCGTTACAGAAGTGCTCAGGTAATAAGGATGCAGCAGTCTTCTTTTATTTGTGGGAGATATGCTCCTAAGCCACCAATAAACACCTGAAATCACAGAGGTCCTGAACCCTATCAGGTAATGCTTTTTTCCACCTTAACTGAGTTCTTATCATGCATTGGGGAATTAACTTTTATAGTTTAAGATACAACAAACTTTGTTATTGATTTCTTTTTCCTTTTTCACAGGTTCATAGAGAGATGATTCATTCTCACTGTAGATCTTAGCGACATTATCATATGATTTTTTCCCCCTTAAGTTATGGACATTTATCTTTTCATTTAAAGCAAGCACTGTGCAGCTTCTTTTTGACCTATCTGAATTGCCAGCATCAGGACTCTTGCACGTTGTGGCCATTGTTAAGTAAAATAAGAATTACTTAAACACCAGTCCTGCAGTACAATTACAGTGGATCTAATAACAGAAACAGGGACTAAGTGACTAAAGCATGTGTAGTGTATATTGCGTAGATATGCTAGACAAAGGGATAACTGACAATCTTGGCAGGATGGAGCAAAACATGGAGATTTCTTCATGCTCCTACTGAGGATGGCATGCAATTTAAAACTTATGAATTATTTTCATAAAATCATCTCTGGGATTTTCTATTTAATATTTTGAGTCTGTGGTCAGTCATAGTAATTGAAGCCTCAGAAAGTAAAATCAGTGAAGTGGGCTTTGTTATTGCACTCTTTTCTGCTACTCTCATAACTGCTTTTACTATTACTGCTCTAAAAGTCATTTCTAGTTAATGACATTGCAATTAGTGAGGCAATTTTCTAAGCATTTATGATGCATTATTTTACTTAATATTTCCAATAAATATAATCACAACTTTATAGATGACAAAGCTGATCCCTAACTTGTTCACAATACACAGCTCACAAATGTCAAAAGCCAAGGTAGATATAAGGGCCAATTACCCAGGTCCTTTGGCTTCACTGCTCTGTGGTGTCACCTCCCACTGGACCAGTGGGTCTACTAGTGTGGTCCCAGAACTTCATCACCAGCCTCAGGATTACCTGGGAAGTTGTGGAAAGTACCAACCCTCTGGGCCCCCCTAGAACTGCTAAATCAGAAACTCTGCCTGTTGATCAAGCAATATGTTTTGACAAGCCCTCCAGGTGATCCTAATAACTGCTTAAGTTTGAGAATTTCTGTCTTAGACCAAATATTTTTATATTTTATGCAAATGAGAACATGATGTCTATCATTTCTAATTCAGCAGCAATAATGCTTAAACAAGCTTTGTTTAACAGAATGGAAGCCAAGCCACAATTGGTACTGTTACCTCTATGTGTGAATATCCTCTAATTCATACTTTAATTAATAAGTTTGGGAAAGTTACATTGTCAAAATAAAATAACCATGACATGATAATCTCTAATATCAAATAGAGCAGGCACTCAACTTTAAACAAACTATATTTTAACTGAATAACCTAAACTTCAAGGATAAATATTAAATTGGAAATAGAAATTCTAAAAATTTGCTACAAATAAATGATATATCATTAGAAAATGTATAGTTATACACACAATGAAAATTTACAATAAACAATATTCTAATATTATTTTATGTCAAGAAAAAATTTTAGCACAAAACTGATTCTATTATTTTTAATAGCTGTCAATATTCAGATAGGTCATAATACTTTTGTTAAGATGTGAGATGAATATAATATATCATCGGGTTCATTTTTTTAAACTATTTATTTTTCAAGCTTTTTCTCCAAAGAAAATGGCAAAAATCAAGATCTATTTGAAAAAGCCAAATATAGCTTTAAATTTAGGACTATTGCATATATAGAAAATGTGCAATTCATTATCTCATCTACACACTCACTCATAGTGATATAATAAACTAATAAACAACATGACCCTAGAAAGGAAATAGACATAATATTATCCTTTTCTTAATGGTCATGGGCTTTTTTGTTCTTCTTTGTCTGACTGGTGAAAAAGAATACTGAATATAATAATGAACCTTATGTACATAAAATTTTCAACTTTTATAGTATTCACATTCCATCACTTATTTTAATCTTCTCCTCATCACTCCAAAGTTAGTTTGGCAAATATCATTATACTTATTGGATAATGAGGAAATGGAGGCATGAAAGATTCATCATCTTGCCCAAGGACAATCTGATAATTAGTGTCAGAGTTAGAATTAGATTTTGTGGCAAAGTTTCCTATCTTCTAGTTCAGTGTATTTTTTACCAGCCTAGTGTTTCCCAAGCTTCAATCATTTGTATATCAGATCTTAGAAATTTTTGCCTGCCCAGTACTATTTATTTAAAAGTCTTCCTCTAAATCAACATACCTTTAGGGATTGAATAAACTCATTTAAAAACACTTGATGTTGCTACCATAACTAAAAAGACAGTGCCACTATAAATAGAAGGTTACTACGTATAAGAACAGTGAAGAAATTAATGTTAATAAATCATAGTTAGATACTGTTTATTTGTAGAAGGCTTTGTCATTCCTGACTCTTTGTTACAAAGAGGATTGTTAATTAAAAGAGGTGCTAGAAGCACATTAACAGCAGAATGAGGTTTGTTTTTTTAAAAAAAAAAAAAACAACAACCTAGGAAGAATCAAAATTAAAAAAAGAACTACTTTTTATGATGTAATTTTTGAGCCCTACATGCCTAGATCTACTCTCAAGTTCCATGAAAAATATATCAAGAAATATATGGCCCCCCTCCCCCATTCTCAGCTTGGGACTCCCTATAGCAACCCAGAACATAACAATGAGTGGGTGTCAACATGTGCAGTCCCATAGATGTATGGGCTTTGTCTGATATTCTGTGCCCCTTTTCCCTTCATGAAGCTAAATAAGCACAAGCAACCCACCTCACAGTCCCACATGTTGTCAGGTTCTCTAAGCAGCAGCACATCAGTTTGTTCTAAGTTAAATCAATTTCAAAATTCCCTAAGTATTGCAGCTACTCCAAATGATGTAACATAAACTTGCAGAGTTTAGGACTTAAGGGATTGCCCAGGAAGCTATTTTCTGAATCCAAATTCAAACAACAAGGACAACTCCTTTATTTGTATTCACAGAGATAATATAGCATTGGATGGGGTCCTTCCTTAATTTGCATGTGGAGAAAGAATAAAACTTTGGGCAGTGTTATTCATTAAGTAATTCTGTCCTTTGAAATGCAGTATTAATCTTGAATGCGTTGGTTGACAACAGAATTTGAGTTCTGTACAGAATGAATTTTAAAGTAACATATGGGCATATAATTGTACTTTCAGTTTTATTTACATATTAGATAAAATTGCCATTTTCAAAAGGTTGACTGGAACTATGAGCCAATGAACACTTTTAACTTTTCAGAAAAATTTCTTGTGGGATAACCACAATGTAAAAGAATTTATAAGAAAAACTTCTTAAGCCACATTTTTAAGAATAAGTAGCTCCATAATGTACCTAGGGACACATCTTGTCAAATCTTTCCTTTTAACAAATGGAGGGAATAGAATGTAGTGGGATGATGAAGACTTACACACTGCCATTCAACTGGTTCGAGATTGGGTAGAAATAGAACCCGTGTCCTTTTCAACCTGATGCAACTTTTTCCCCAATGTATGACAGTAATTTTATTCTTAAAATTCAAAGACTAGTGAATAGCAATTCATGATTCAAATGACTCTTAATACAGATAAATATTAATTATCTCTGAATTTCATGTTTTACTCACATTTGGCTATTCATCAAATTAGTTTGAGTTACAGAGTTAAGGGCAGAAAAAAAAAATAGCTCCTAGTTCCTAGCCTTAGCTAGCATTCTAAATATGACTTTTAACTGAATACCTTGCAGTGTATGGGAGATTGTAAAAATATAAAACTACAATTCATAGATTTATTACATTTAACTGACTACATCACCATAAGTAACTGCCCTGTTTTGCTCTGCTCCATCTTTTCATCTGTGTAGGGATTTCTTGGTACATTATTTAAATTTGTCAACATTTATGAGAGAAAGAAGAGTATTCTCTCTATTGTTAATGGAAGTAGAGATCTATCATTTTACATAAGAATATATAAATAATTTTCTTCCTGAAATGACTCCTTTTTCTCCTCGCTTTTCATGTATGGAAGCTGCCAAGAGATTTATCAGCATATACTTGTTTCTCAGTAGTTAACAGGATCTCAGAACTTGTGGAGAAGTAAAGGTAACCACGCAAATGAAGCTTATGAAGGAGAAAAGCTCATGGCTCCTATCTAGATCAAAAGCTGTATCTGGAGCTGTGTGTCTTGAATATGCATTATGACTATTAAATAAACACCAGTCTGAAAAAGGCTGTTAGCAGATCAAAATTTCAAAACTTAACAACCATCTGATGATGCTGATGCTTGAGGAAGCTACATTTAAATATTAAGGAAATAATAATATTAAAAAGAAACTTCAGAGCAATGTTTCTCGAGCTACCTTGTTGGGGAGCATTTTTATATTTAATGCAATAAGTGAACAGAAAATTAAAACATGAGCAAAATGCAAGTTCCATCTTTTTATTATTTTATTCAACAGATATAATAGAACTTCTTGGGTTAGTTGTCATGTTAGCATCAAATTTTATAAAAGGTTTTAAATGTTTACTCTCAACTTCTGAATGCATTTCATTATAGACTGATAGCAGCCAGTGAAACAAACATGAATAGTATTGTTTTAGGGGATGATATTCTTATTTTTTACACTACCTAATGTA